GTGGGTGGGCAGTCTCCGCTGCTGAATGCATGCCGGGAGAGGAGGAGCATGTTCCCCCTCCTTGGCTTCTCCGCACCATGCCCCGGGATGAGCTGCTGGGCTCTGATTGCCCCACAACCTGACCTGACTGGGGTCCCATTCACAGTCGTGGGACAATCCCCACAGTGCAGGAGGGAAATTACGTAATATTATGTGATTACGTGCAGTTGTATGTTTTATGCACAAAATTATGCAGGCATGTAATTGTGTGATTCCCTGGGTTGTACTATAAGATGATGAAACGGGGAATTTAATATTCTCCCCAAATTCCCATCCGTCTGTACACATGACAGTTGTAGTATAGTCCATTTCACTTGGCCTCAGAATGAGGAATTCCCGTGTTTCTATATTAGCCTGTTACTAGTGCAAGCACAGAGCACATTTAGATTTTTCACTGTTCAGTAACTTGTACAATTCAGTTGTGATTTGTAAGGAATAATAGATATCTCTTTGGTTTCTTTTAGCATGGGTTGGCTCTTCCTGACTCTTATGTTAATTTTTAGATTTAAATGAATCACAATGTGTAAGGAATTGAGGTGTATCCAATTAGTTTGCCTTAGTTTTGAGTTAAAAAAAAAAATAAAAAAGTGCAAGTTTTTTTTTTATGGCTAAATGTTGGTCCATGACAACATTTACTTGAAGGGTTCCTTAACCTTTTGATGAACTGGAATGAGTGCGAAGTTAGGAATGAAACTTGAAGCCATGGCATCTCATGATTACAAGTTTTGTAAAAGTGTTTGCACAGCCTTAGCACTGAGGAGTTTGAGGGCATTTTGGAATACCTGTACTATAGATGTGGAACAAGAGGCTGAAGAAAATATCTGACAGTGGAAAAAATAGACATTCCAGCAGCCAAGTCCTTGCTACCAGGGGCTGATGAACAATGGCAAAGGTGGTGATGTCTCAACCACCAACATACTGGAGTTGGACGCTAATGGAATTAAAGAAGTGGGGCTATACCATTGGTTCAACCACTTGTGACTGCAGCACAGAGCCTCAGACTATGCAACACCTGCTGCAATGCATGCTACTTGAAGGCACATGTACAATGAAAGATCTTGCAAAATACAGTAAATGAGCAGAAGCATGCATAACAAGATAGTCAGATGTGGCAGAGACATGAGAAGGATACCTGTATGCTTTGCATTTCCTAAAGAACAGTCAAAATACTTGCTGTAGAATTTTAGTAGCATTCCTATTTATTTCCCTGTTTCAAGTAAGGAAAAAAAAAGTAAGTTTTAAAAGTTTTCATTAAAATTATTATTGTACCAGAGCTTATTGCTCTGGGCACATGGTTTACATTTGTGTCCGGGACCACAGCACATTGAGTAGGGCTGGAGCAGGTCTGGCTGGCAGGGGACCTGGGGGGTCAGCCTGTGAGCCCAGGGCTGCTCCCCACTGAGCTCAACATACTGTGGAGGGTCTGGCTGGGGCATGAGGATGCTTCAGCATGGGGCTCGCCAACAGGCAGCCCTCACACTGAAGCACCCTTGTGCCTGGCCAGCCAGGGCAGCATCTACGTATGTGTTGCTGCAGAGTAAAATAAACAAGTACTATCCTGCTGCAGAATAATTTGGCTTATGCCAGCTTAATAGAGGTGCATGTGTAGATGCACAACATTAACTGCACAGGTGATTAGTCTCCTACACAGTAAACGTCTCATGTTGGCATGCCCAAGGTCATTTAGTCCAGCCCCCTGCTGAAGGCAGGACCATCCCAGCCAAGTGTCTGTCTAACCTGCACTTGAAAACTACCAAGGATGGGGATTCCACAACTTTTCTGGGTAGGCTGTTCCAATACAAGGAGAAATGCAAAGTGCTGCACCTAGGGAGGAAAAATGTCCAGCACACCTACAGCCTAGGGAATGACCTGCTGGGTGGCACGGAAGTGGAACATGAGTCGGCAGTGTGACGAAGCCATCAGAAAAGCCAATGGCACTTTATCGTGCATCAGCAGATGCATGACCAATAGGTCCAAGGAGGTGATACTTCCCCGCTATCGGGCGCTGGTCAGACCGCAGTTGGAGTACTGCGTGCAATTCTGGGCGCCGCAATTCAAGAGGGATGTGGATAACCTGGAGAGGGTCCAGAGAAGGGACACTCGTATGGTTAAGGGCCTGCAGACCAAGCCCTATGAGGAGAGACTAGAGAAACTGGACCTTTTCAGCCTCTGCAAGAGAAGGTTGAGAGGCGACCTTGTGGCTGGCCATAAGTTCATCACGGGGGCACAGAAGGGAATTGGTGAGTATTTATTCACCAAGGTGCCCCCAGGGGTTACAAGAAATAATGGCCACAAGCTAGCAGAGAGCAGATTTAGACTAGACATTAGGAAGAACTTCTTCACAGTTCAAGTCCTGCCTATGCAGGGGGTCAGACTCGATGATCTATTGAGGTCCCTTCCAGCCCTAACATCTATGAACGCTTGACCACCCTCATAGTCAGAAAATTCCTCCTCATCTTCAGCCTGTATTTTCCCCTGCTACAGCCTGAGGCCATTGCTCCTAGTCCTGTCTTCTACAGCCACAGAGTAAAGCTGATCTCCATCCTCTCTGTAATTGCCCTTCAGGTATTTGAAGACTGCTATCAAATCCCCACTGTCTTCTCTTCTCTAGATTAAATAACCTTAGTTCTTTCAACCTTTCCTCATCAGACTGGCTTCCTGGCCCCTAATAATTTTTTGTTATGTGTTTGACTCTTTCCAATCTGTCCCCATCCTTAAAATGCAGGGCCTAAGACTAGACATAGCACTCCAGATGAGGCCTCACCAGTGCTTACTAAGAATTGTTTCCCTAGATCTGGAGGTGACACTCCTATTAATACAATACAGTATGCCGTTGGCTTTTTAGTAGGGGTGCACTGATAAAGATTTTTTTGGGGCCGATACTGATCTGGTAGCTGATAAGCAGCCTGGCAGCTTGGAGAGCAGCATCTGGCAAGTAAGTCTGTGGGGGGAAGGGGCGTGGCGGGGGAGCAAATCACGGCCACCACAGTGAGGGAGGGAGTGGGGCTGGGGCTGGGGTAGGCACTGCCTGAGGGCGGGCTGCCTGCTGGGGGCTCCACTGGCCTCTTCCTGGTAGGGGGCTGGGCTGGAGCTGCGCTTGGGGTGGGCCAGCAGTGAGGTGAGCAGTGGCAGCACTGGGAGAGGGGGTCATGGGGGCTACAGTGAATTTTAGGGTGGCTGTAGCCCACCCTGTAGCCTCTGCTCCCAGCACCACCGCTGCGTCCCCCGAGTGCAGCCCCAGCCCAACCCCCCTGCCAGGAAGAGGCTGGTGCAGCCCACCCTTGCCCCACACACAAATCGAGGGGGCACATGGCCCCATGCCTCACCTGGGGCACACAGTGGCAGGGAGTTGCCTCCCCCCCCATCCCCACATCCCCTGGACATCCTGTGACATAGTGTGTCCCGCCCCATCCTGCCTGAGCAGCCCCTGCTGCAGCCCCATTCTCTCCCTCACTGTGGGGGCCTCGATATGCTTTCCCCCCCGCAGACTTACCAGCCAGGTGCTGGTCTCCAAGTTGCCGGGCTGCATTCCCGTCCGCATGCATGATGTGGTTGTGTGCCTGCACATGGCATTTATCAGCAACATAACCAACTATACCAGCCAAAAAAAGCCAATTGGCAATAACAGCAATTTTTTCCTTTTTTTGGTGCCAATCTAATATGGACCAATATATTGGTGCACCTCTACTTTTTAGCAACAAGAGCACACTGTTGGCTCATTCAGGTCCTTCCCTGCAGTTCTGCAGCCTAACCACTTATTCCCTTGTTTGTGTTTGTCCATGCAATTATTCCATCCCAAGTGCAGTACTTTGTACTTGCCCTTGTTGAATCCTATGTGAGGCCTTAAGGAGGGCTAAGTGCCCTATCCTTGGATTGGTTGGTTTGATTGTTTTAGTGCAAAACCACCTGTTACCATGTTAAAATTGACACGAAAGCTTTACCTTTCAGAGAATCAGATTTGACAAAACTTCACATAAAATGTATGGCTGGAAGGGGCCGTGTAGTCTAACCCCTAAATATAATACTTATGTTCCCAATCAGAAGTATTAACTTGTTAATAACTCAATTGTAGCAGGACATAATAGGAGTAAAGAACCTAGGTCGTTGCTGGGACTTTCCATGCTGCTTGAAATTATCCCTTATTGTGGGCAGGTTACTGAACTTTTTTTGGATGGCATTTGTGTGTATGGGAGATTCCCTGGGAATTGTTTCTCAGGCATTTTAGCAAGTAGGTCCTAACTTTCACTATGTTTCTCTTCCTTTTTTTTAAATAGTAGGCAGTTATTAATCCTGACCTTCATGCTCTGTGCATGTGTTATCAAAATTTAGGCACATAGGCTGGAGTGCATCTATGTCCTCCCGGTACTTACAAACCCTCAGGTGCCTGGAGCGGGAGGGTCTTGCTTGTATACTCGGCAGTAAACCCAAAGCTAGACTTGAGATCAAGAAGGTTTTTTGTTTTTTTTTTTTTTTTTCTGCCCAGAACCAATGAAGAGACTTTTTGGGGATTTTTTTTTTTTTTTTTGGCTTTTCTCCACTGAGCTGAAGGTTCTAGTATATGTAGGTGAATGGAAATGGCAGGTCATTGGGGCACAGGTTAAGGTGGGTATTGGAACTGTTTATTAAGTTGGTTGAGGTGCTTGCTTATTGGTGTTGCTGAAGGGTTAGTTCCCATCCCTGCCAATGATAATATTTGGGCAGCCCCCTTCACAGAATCTCAAAGATTTGGGAATGGGGTCATACCGAGTTTACAGATCCTCCCCTATGGCTTGTCAGGTTCAGACGCTTGCTACAGCAAACCAGTACTACTGCTTGAAGATGTGGGGGATTGCTTCACTGTGTTAATGTATTAACTGTAAAGTGAATTTCTCATTTACACAAATAGTTTAAAATCTAAAAGCAAGTGCTCTAACAGAAGACAACTTGTACAACTATATTTTCCCATTCTCAATTTCTTACAGAATAAGCTGGATATCGGATATAATTGTGGTAGTGTCTCTTGAACACATTGAAACAATGAAGTCAATTATTCAGAAATATGGTCACAAACGGATTACAGTGGTAGAAGGCGGAGTGACTCGTCACCGGTCAATTTTCAATGGACTCAAAATCTTTGCAGAGAACAAGCTTTCCAATTGTCCGCTCCAGAAACCCGAAGTAGTGATCATCCATGATGCTGTGAGGCCATTCATTGAGGAAGATATTCTATTAAAAGTAGTTAAGGCTGCTAAAGACCATGGGGTAAGTACTGCACAGCAACCAAGCTCTGTAAAGCTCTTACGTAATTCAAAGTAAATAGGAATTTCATTAATGTTCTTCCATGGTACCATCGATAGTGATTTTTTGGATCATAGTTGTCAGCTTTGGGGTAACCTGCTTGACAAATTTCATATCCTAGAGCAATAATATAACTATCTGCAATTTCTGCAAAGAAACCTGCCTAATAAGAATTTACCAAGTAAAATTCATCCTGTTGGCTTTTGTATGTAAAAATCTGTTGATGTAATGCCTTGCTATTCCAGAGATTCATGCTTTATAGAAATTTATGGATGATAACTATACTCTTGAGCTTCAAGGATTAGCTTTCATGCTTGTCCATCTCATCCTTAGCAGCCAAATACTACAGAAGTGGTAAAAGCACTGCTCCTATTATATTGCTGTATTTCTTTAGAGGCCTACACAAGGTGCTAATGGTTTAACATTAAGTATAAATACGATATATCAATGTTGTATTTTTCCCTTGATATAACTAAATTGTCAGATTCAGTTGATGGGTATAATTAAGAAATAAATGGCTGAGAAATCAGCTATGTTCTAAGAGGTAATGAGCCATGAGTTCTAAATCCAGCTGGTCATTAAATGCCAGGAAATAACAGATATGGAGGTCGTTATTTCTGTTACCGTTATAAAATCATTTTTATGTGACTATGACTGTCTTGACCTTTGTCAGGTGCTGCTGATGTTGGCAGCTTCATTGTTTTCATAGAATCCACTGGTATGGTAAAACAGGATGTTTCTCAATGCTGTATTAGGATTTATAGAAAGCATGTTATAAATGTTAGTTAAATGGAAATAGAAAATCATCAGTTCTTAAATGCCTTTTTCTGCATTAATGTAAGTAGATGACCTGTACTTTGCTTAGGAAGAAGATGAACAGGGTTTGAATGCATAGTTCAGAGTGGCTAACCCAAGACCATTTGTTTTTACTGGCAGTCTGCAAATTTATTACTGACAAATGTCAGTTTGAAAATTGGATGTTCTACATAATGTAAATATAAACCTTCAGCCAGGCCGTAGGTGACAGTAATAGGGGTTGCATTCATATTCAGGGGTTTAACACCAACTTTCTAAATCTGGCTTGAGCCTCTACTCAGAAGGCATATCTACACTGTGCACTTGTACTGCTCAGTAACTTAAAGTAATGTTACTCCCAAATGAGTCCACACAAACAGGGTTACTGCTCAGTAAGGTGTCTACATGTGCCTTACTTCACAGTAACTATTTGGGAGCAAATTTACTTCCAAGTTGGCATAAGTTGTCATGTAGATGCACGTGCCTGTACTGTGCAGTAATTTTCTGTTACTATGCAGCAATGGTGCACATGTAGATGCACCCAGCAATCTGGGAAAACAAATTTGAAGTGTGTGTTCTAAAGCAAATGAACTTCCCTACTCATGAGCAATGTTAAACTAAAATGGGGTTTTATTAAACATGAAAAGGGAACAGGCACATAACCTTAGAGAACCTTAATTATTGAATACTATGTAAAACCCAAACCACTAATAGTTTTGGTTTTACTTGACTGCAGCAGTGATTTTTATGCCATGCTGCCTCCACCCCAGGGCTCCCCTACTCATCCAACACTCAGATACCCCTGACCGCAGCCCACACCAAAATTGCCTTGCTGTCTCTCATGGCATACACCCCCCACCCACCGACTCTTGCCCCTTCTTCTGGCACCACTGCTCCAACTCAGCCGCACGGCCCTGCTGTGCAGCCGTGCCTATCTGAGAGAAGAGTGGGATGCAGTAGCAGCATGTGACTGAGGGGGGTGCTGTGGATGCTTCTGTGGGCCCCAAAGCCCTGAGGAAGAGCTCCCTGTAGGGCGCCAAGCTGTGCTCCCATTCAGATGCAAGGTGACGCTGCCTTGCTCTCTGTCCATCAACACTTGAATTCAGTCCTTTCTGAGGACAGATCTTCAGGGTTTCTTACTTTTTTACGGAGAGCTCAAATGTATTTACAGACAGGTATTCACTTCTTTTAATGGACTGTATATACATTTATGGACAGTTGCAACCTTGATACTGATTTAATGAAACCATTCAACTTTATTTTTTGGAGGGTGGAATACTTTTATGTTGAAAATGCAGTTGAAAGGTATTTTTTTTTTCTGCATAACGTAGTATAGGAATAATGTTGTTGCCACACTTCTATAAAAATGGCTATGATAATTTTTTTTACTTACATACTTTATACTTAAATACAGAATAAGCATTTTGTTACCTTCTGACTGGTGTGTTTTTTGTTTCGGTATTTTTTCTTTTTCTGTCAATGGTGATTGATTTTTATCATACTCGGGAAACGCCAAAATATAATTTTTTCATACTTCTGCATTTTACCACCTTGTGTCGTCTTTTTTTTTTTTCTTTCCCCCATGAATGTGATTCCCTGATTTTGAGAGAGGTTTTTAGTGATCTCAACTGTCATTGATTTCTGCAAATGTTGGGGTGGCTCAGGACTTTTGCTTTAGAAGCTTAGGGTCCAGTCAATATCCATAGGCAAATTGCTGCAGCCCTTTGCAACCTCACTGACCTCCTGTGAGCTGCATTTGGGTGCAGGAGTCCACTCAATTACAGGATCAAGACTTTGATTTTAAATGTGTTATGTTTGCAAAAAAATCTTAGTCTGAGAGAATTATCAGTAAAAATGCCCTTTAAATAGAAGTTAGAGGGTAATAAATATTAGTTAATTTAAACTTTCAAGTTTATTTAAACTTTGTTATGAGAACACTAATAAGTTTAAATCAAATAACTTGTTTAGGAAAGTAAACTGAAACCCTAACATTGAAATCTTACAGGGTGCATCGACACGTGCAATTAATGTGAAGGGATAAACTCTGGATCTGTTTGAGCTAGAGTACACTGCTTCTGGGCTCAGCGTTTACATGCATGCCCGGGACAGCAGCAGCTTGAGCTGGGATGGAGCAGGCTTGTGGGGGTCAGCCCTGGGCTCTGAGTGGCAGCGTCAGGCGGTGGAGGGGCTGACTGGGACACGAGTGCCAAAAGTGTGGAGCTTTGTGACTAGGTGGCAGGCAGGAGTCTGATCCCCTGGTGCCTGGGCTGACCATGTGCAATTGATACTCACTGTCATCATCCACACCATCATCACAGTTGATTATTCTGCTGTAAGATAGTGCTGTCGGGAATAGTACTATCTTATGGCAGAGTTAGTTAATTTACTGAGCTCTAATACTGGTTCACATGTAGATGGTGACACTTTACTGTGGAGCTAATTAGCCTACAACACAGTAAAGCACATGTACAGATGCATCTACTTTATCTAAATCTGTGCGAGAAGAACAGAATTTTGTAATAAAACCTGTGAGAAATCTAGGCTCCCATTCTTCATTTTATTTACGTTTCACTTCCCTTTCGTTCACTGCTTCTGGGATTAAGTACTGTCACCCTAGTGGATCACTCATTGTATGTGATGTGAGCATATAAAGACCATATTACCTACATGTAGTTTGGAAAGGGAGAATAATATGGCTACCAGCCTTCCCTTTGCAGGGGACTGAAATGAAACTGTCTCTTGCTCCCTGCAGAGAACAAGTTGCATATTCTATAACTATTAAAGAAATTCAGCAGCGTCGGTATTCTTCTTCCAGTTCCCAGCAGTAGCTTAGTCTCAATGTGTAAAATAGAAGCCTTGTACTTCACACTGAGGCCTTTACCAGTTGTGAGGGCAGAGTCATTTTCTGGAGTCTTTGCAGCAACCAGACTTCAAGAGACATCTCACTGATACTTGTCTCTTGAAGACCTATTTCTTCAAGGAGGAGTTTCTGAAAGCTGCATTGGTTCAGGTATTGAGCCAAGGGTTTTACAGCATCACCACCATGATGAATTGATACTAGTAGGAAAGTAGGTCTAGTGTGTAGGACACTGGGCTGTGCCTTAGGAGTTGAGTTCAGTTCCTGACTCAACCACAGGCTTTCCTGGGCAAGACACTTAATCTGTTATCTCCTTCATTTTGTTGTTTGATAAATGGAAATGGCAATCTCCTGTCTCTCCCAATTTTGTGAGGTGAAATCTGTTAATGATGGTGCCGTGCTTTGATATTACAATGGTAGGAAACTCCACTGGGGCTGGTCTCCTCCCAGGAAAGAAAGCTATGAGCTGGTACATGAATTTGAAGTTGTGGCAACAGAGTATTGGGCTATAGGGCGAGTTATGGCATTTTTCCTGCTTCTGTTAGGAAATAATGGTATTTGTACACGTAGGAATGGAATGAGCCATCTGTTAATTTAATTTTTACAATAAAATATTCTATGTTAGGACTCCCAGAGCATATTTGCATATCTAAATACATTAAAGTCAAGACTGATTGTCTTATATCTTTGTAGTTCTGCTTTGTTATAGTAAAACTGAAAAAAACAGAGTATCTTGTTTCTACTGGTTATATGGTGAATTTTAAAGTATTCGGAAGCCTGACATTTCCATTTGTCCTTTCTGATTTATCAGGAAATATGTCCCCGGAACTTGTTCACTATCAGTGTCTTTCAACTATCTGTCCTTTTTGTGAATCTGATTTTAAGAGAGACTTTTGATAGTGTGAGGGTTTTTTTTTTATATAAAATAAATGTATCTATTTTGTATATAAAATTGAAATTGGATTACTACTCTCTTTGTGTTTATATATTGGTAGAATTTTTTTGTTTGTTTGGGGGGGGGTGGATTTCCTCCACTCCCCTCATTTTTTTTTTTTTTTGGGGGGGGGGGTGTTTTCCCCCCCCCCCCCCCCCCCCGCCTATACTTAAAACTAAAAGTAAGTAACTTCCTATATGGTAGATTAAGTATGTAGAATTGTATGTGATGCAGTGGATTTTCCCGCTGCCCTTTTCTGCTAATTTTCTTTAAGATGCACAATATAGCTGTATTATCTTCCTTAATAAGCTGGATGGAGGACAAAGTCAAAGTTAATCGACATTTATTTTCCATCAATCAGTATGGTCTGGCTGGTCA